TTTCATTCTCGTTGCAAGTAGACACGTATTTATAACGTACTTTGTAATTCTACAATGCACGAGAAAGAGAGAAAGAAACGCGAAGAATGAAGGGAGAGACGGGAAGAATTCTAGGAAAACTACATTGGGAGCAGTTTCAATTACGCTTTATTACAGTTTACTCACGGGTAATCCTGTGAACGCGTGTCTAACATTTTCAGCAAATTTTGGACCGGTGAATCTTCTACGGAGTGTGTGGTCGATTACGTTTGCTGGATTACGTTGAATACCGAATAGGAAGTTTTCACCAACTGCGATTGATATGAAAATAGAGAAGAAAATGACAAGATACGGAACGAATGTGGACTGCCAGTATATTATTGTTCGCGATAGATTTTATTTGGAAGATTGTTACTTTGTATTGGACGCGTAAAACGTGCGCTAAGAAAAATATATATATTTTGATACAAACACTTTTAAAAGACTCCAAATTTACGGGAAAAACGAAAGCGCCGGTGAATTCTATTGGCTTCAACGAGCGTAACATAATCGTCAGGAGTGTCTTTTTGGTGCTCTGGCTCAGTGCCGTCCAGTTGCTTTCGAATACTGTGTCGCAAATTTCAAGGCTCTACGAGAATCAACATTACGTAGAAACAGAAACGAGAGGAAAATTGAGAATAAGAAGTCTGTTTGATCACGTACCTTCACTTTGGTCTCGTTTCCATACCAGCAACAATAAAATATCTGTGCGAACACACTGACCATGAACGGTATCAATGCTAAAACTTGCGAATACACCTTGGTCTGTGTCAGTCGAAAGAGGTTGAAGCACATTGTCATAGTGGTCACCAGAAATTGCGTGGCCATCGTGATGCTGAACTTCGCGTTTATAATTTCAGCGAATCTGAAATCATTCCAGACTACGTGCCCCTTTTTCGCATACATATCGTCACATAATTGCACTCTTTAAAACGTCAATTTTCACGTGTAACATAAACGAGCCACTTTAATCGTGCAGAAAAAAAATCCATCGTTTCCTCCGTTATCTATAACCCCTTGCCGTATAAAAACGAGTCAGACTCGTGCCCTGATCAGATAAAAACAGCTATCTCGGTAAGAAAAATTAATTTTAATTCCAATTTTCGATTTAATTTCAAAAACTGAAAATTCGCAAATTTAATTAGCTTTTCTTACTTAACGGTAAACGAAGAAAAAAAAAATAGTAGACAAACTTGTATATGCGATAATGATGAAAAGCACACTGTTTCGCAGAGTACTCCCTGTCAGGTTTAATGCTCTTCAGACGATGTTGGAGTATCTCGAATTGGCAATAAATGTGGATCAACAGTCCGCTGAATAGATTGTCAG